AACTTAGTTATTATTCATGGCTGGATTTTTGTGCTCCAGAAAACTTCAGTCTGAAATCTATTTACTGCCTCCTTCCATGTCAATGAAATTAGAAAGAGTGATAGCATCTTACATGTGATAAACAGATCATCTTTCAGAGAGGTTGCAGTAGAGTAATCAGAACGTACTCTTTCCTAACCTTTCTCCACTCTTCAGGGGCTTCTGTTGGAAGCAGCTTGCAGCTTGTCTGAACAGAAGTGTGTATGGTGGCCCTGTCCTTTCTGCCAGTCATGTGCATGTCACTCTCTCCTTGTTATCTTCAGAGAAATATTTGTACCACTTAAATCTAGGGCAAAAGACTTACTAAAAATGCAGTTGTGATTCATTTTAATAATTATTGAAAAAAAGTGACTCGACGATCAGGTAAAAATCAATCTAATGATGTGAGTTATGGCATAAAAACCTGAGCCCTTTTATGACACTTCAATTATTTAGTTGAGGATATAATCCTCATTCAGTACATGAAAGCAGTGTATTTTTTGAATTACATTTTTAGGACCCAAACCACGACATGTGGCAGGTTTTATGGTGAGCATTGCTACAAGTGAAATGAATAGAATTGTCTCTACCTTTCAGCAGTTCACAATCTGATATGTGAAAGAAACAAATCATTGAATAAATGTGACTAGTGTTATAATCAAAAGACACAAAAACTCAAGTCAGACGAGAGTGGTCCCTGACAACCATGATGCCAGAGCCAGGAGGGGTGGCATGGTGGCGTGGTGAGGGCAGAGGAGAACCTCCAGCAGAGAGCAGGAGCAAAGCTAGAAAATTAGAATAGTTGAATGTGGACTAAAACTACTGAGCAATGCTAAGAAAAGTCACTGAACTAAATAAAAGCAACATGCAGGATAAGCTTTACGTCTAACATTGCTAATGAAAGAAGTACTGAATTGGAAAAAAAAAAGTTAACTCCACCTATATAAATTTATATTAAAGTTTTAAAATTCACATACTCGTGCATGTGGTTGAGACAAGAAAATTATATAAGGAAGACTGCAACCTCTGCCTGCTAGTAGATAACAGAAGTAGAGGACAAGGGGGTGAGGGTGCAGTTGATTTAGTTACCATCCAACAGTCTTCTCCCCATCACCCTCCAGCCCTCACAGGACAGTCAACGCTCCCCTCGATCCACCCTCTCATGCTGGCTATGTATACAGCATTAGTGTTGATGAAGGAAGATAAAAATAAAGATCCACTCAGAAGATACTATAATCATGATGTTTTTGTGCATCTATCCCAAAGTTTCAAAGTATATAAAACAAAAATTGACAGAATTAGGTGATGTAATAACATTGGAAATTGTAGGCCAAGCAATAACACCTGGGTAAACATGCAGGGTATTTAGCAAAGTCAAGTAACACAATCTAGTGGACACCTGTAAAATATTTATTATTCCCAAATGCCTGGAAAGGTATTTCAATGAAATATTTCAAAGAATGCATAAAAAATCGGACTTTCTCTCCTGACAGTACAGTGCATTTAGAAGTCATCAATTAAAAATTAGCTTCAAAAAATTTATGCTTTTGAGAAAAAGTAAGCATTCCTTGATAATTGAAACATTTTAAGAAATGTCCCAATGTTAGTTATAAAATATTTTGAAATAAATGACAATAAGAATAATTTTGAAGTAAATAAAAGAAAGATAGAAAATAAAGAAAAAAGACAAGCAAATTATATCGGAAGACTGCAACCCCTGCCTGCTAGGACATGCAGAAGTAGAGGACAGGAGGGGTGAGGGTGTGGTTCTTATAAAATTAAGAAACAAAAAAAAAATTAAGAAACAAAACAGAGGATCAAATTTTTTTTTTAGACTAAGAGAGAAACCTGTAGCAAAACTAATTTAAAAAAATCACACCCAGCACCATATACTCAATTCATGATTGCCAAGTCATGAAAGAAGCCCAAGTGCCCATCAACCCATGAATGGATTAATAATTTGTGGTATATGTATACCATGGAATACTATGCAGCATTAAAAAAGATGGAGACTTTACCTGTTTTATGTTTACATGGATGGAGCTGGAAAATATTCTTCTTAGTAAAGTATCTCAGGAATGGAAAAAAAAATCCAATATATTCAGTACTACTATGAAACCAATTTATAATCCCTCATACTTTCATATGAAAGATGAACCACAACTATAGCCCAGGATGATGGCGGGAAGGGAAGGGGGATGCAAAGGGAGGGTGGTAGTTTGATAGAGGGGAGGTTAACAGTGAGACCACACCTATGGAGCATATTGCAAGAGTACAAGACAAATCTATCAAGTATAGAACAAAAATGTCCTAACACTGTGATTAAGTGAATGAGGTAAAATCTATGTTAACTAGTAGGATGTAAGCACTCCAATTTATACAAATAATTAACACATTGAATCCCACAAAGACATAAATGTACTCATGATCTATGTTTATATGACTTAATAAAAAAACAGAAAAAATCACAGAGAGAGAAGAGACAGAAGTAAATGATACTAGCAACATAAAGGGGCAGAAGTAAAGAAATAAATAATACTGGCAACATAAGGGCAAGATAACCAGATGGAGAAGATGTGTACTTATTTGTCCATTTTTTGAGTTTTTTTAATTGTATATAATTAAAGGGTAAAACATAAATTTTGATGTACCTATACGTGGTGAAATGTGTACCATACCCCAGCAAATTAACATACCCATCTCAAATAGCTGTTTTATTTTTATTTTATTTTTTTGTGGGATAAGAACTCCTGAGATTCACTCTCTTGGCAAATGTCCATTATTCAATACAATCATATTAACTATAGCATGTCTGTTGCACATTTCATCTCCAGAGTTACTATCCTACGTAACTGCAACCCATACTCACCATTTCCCCCCACCTCCTGCCTCCTGCCCCTCCAGCATATTCAAGTTTTTTTAATTTCCGTGGGATCATGCAGTTTGGAGTAAATATTTTAAAGGAAACATAACATCATAACATAATAAATGTTTGAAATACATTTGAAAACCTAGCTGACATAATTTTATGAAAACATATATATTACTATAATTGTGTTAAGAAAGAATACAAAGCTGGCAAAACCAATAGCCACCAAACAAATTGAAACATCATTGAAATGATCACACTTCAGCATGAAGGGGCTGCAGTACAATCCATGAAGCAGCAGAGTCTATGAGCAGGCAAAGCAATCTATGTAAGAATCATCACTAACGGAGAGAATGGCAGGTCTATTTTTAGATCCCTAAGTGATCTCCAAACTTCTTTCGATTCCATCCTACAATTCCTCTACTAGGTATATATCCAGAAGACCAAAATCACTTTGTAACAAAGATATTTGCTAAGTTGTGGAAGAAGCCCAAGTGCCCACTGACCCACGAATGGATTAATAGATTGTGGTATATGTACACCATAGATATTATGCAGCCTTAAAGAAAGATGAAGACTTTACCTCTTATGTGTTTACATGGATGGAGCTGGAACATATTCTTCTCAGTAAAGCATCTCAAGAATTAAAGAAAAAATATCCAGTGTACTCAGCCCTAATATGAAACCAATTGATAAGCACTCACACTTCCATATGAAAGCTATAACCCAACTACAGCCCATGATGAAGGGAAAGAGGAGGGGGAAAGGAGGGCAGGGGGTAAGATGGGTAGAAGGAGGGTAATTGGTGATACCACACCTGTGGTGTATTTTACAAGGGTACAATGTTAAATCTACTAAGTGTAGAATATAAATGTTATAACACAATAAGAAAATGAGGTGAAGGCTATGTTAACTAGTTTGATGAAAGTATTTCAAATTGTGTATAAAACCAGCACATTGTACCCCATAAATGCATTAATGTACACAACTATGCTTTAAAAAAATAAAGACAAAGAAACATCACTAATGTGAGAATAAAAGTTAATTTTTATCAATAATTAATATTTATAAAGTGTCATAAATTTCCATCTGTCTTTTGTCATTCCTGCTTGAATTTTAAAGTTCACTCTTCATCTGTCCATCAAATTCTAAAGCATATGTCTCTTTTGCAAGAAGGTTTCCAAGTTCCAGAGTTCTTTATTGCTCTCCTGTGACCATGCAAATTCTGCCTTGCATCACTGTGTTTGTGGGGATGGATATTCAATCTCCCCAATTAACTGCAGGCTGTGGAGGTCATCCCCCACTGTGCCCAACCTGGTGCTTTTGGTAGAGTATGTGATTGTATCCAAGGCTGAGGAGATGCCTCGGTGTTAGCTCCCTCCTGGTAGTAACTAGAATTTTTAAGCTGTGATGTTCATGTGGGTGAGTCATAAATTGTATCTGGGCCAAGTGAAGACTGCAGCTCAACTTGGCAGGCTGACTTATTCAAAGATTCTTTGGACTTGCGGAGGCCAGGCAACAGAGCATGCTCACTTGCCTGGTTGTGTGCCCTCCTCACCTTGAGTTACCCAGGGCTCTAGTTCCAGCCGGCCTGGGACTTCCAAATATCAGGAGGGCTCGGAGGCCCAGATCACTCACACAGACAATGCCCAGTGCCTTTTGCCCTGCTTGAGGCATGCAGTCACTTTCAAATCACTAAGAATTGGTTCTTTCAAAGTGTGAGTTTTCTGAAGAAACTTTATGACTTGTTTATTTTAAAAGAACAAATTGGAGAAGACAAATCAGTGAGTGGTTTGTTGCTGACTTTTAGGTTGTTTTAGACAGAGTAAGGTGAGCACATTGTCATAGCCAGACATAGAGCTTTCTGTGTTTTCCAACTAAATACACTAGTTGATTGCTTTTTTTTGTTTGTTTACTGTGTTATATTTGATTGGGATATTATAAAAATGTTTAAACTCCTTTTATCAGATATTTATTACATAGTAAGTGATGCTGCTTTGCTATATTTGCATGGAAAAAAGAAAAGGAAACCTGTGTTACTAACATGAGTGTCTCTTTTCTCCTCTCAGCACACTGCTCCTGGCTTCTCCAGCACCTTCTCTCCAGTACAGCCATGGCCTCAGTGCCTTCCATAGGTTGCCTTCTGGCCAGAAATCAGTATTATCGAAGTAAGTTGCTTCATCATTGGAGAATATTCCTAGAAAATTTGATTTCAGATGATGTTTGGGGGACCTTGTTGATCTATGTGTCGTGTTATGTTCAGAACTTAAGGGAGACAATTGGCAATTATTGGTATCAGTGAATAAAACAGGAATAGTGACATCAGGGACCTCCCTGACCAGTGTTTTCTGGCTTAGCTCTCGGTTCCAGCTACTTTATCTCAATGGAGCCATTAACATTTACATATAAGTGAAAAGAAGCTTATGTTTCATAATTATATTTTAATTTAATGTATCTTACATTTACAGTATGCATTATAAACTGACAATTTTAAATATATATTATTCAGTTTCTTACAAAAGAAGGGAAAGGATGATTCTGCTTCAAAGATTTTATAATGTTCATTTTCTACTATGGATAATAAGTCAGCATCTGTGTGGCCAGTTGCATTGTTATTTATCTGTCTGTCTGTGCATATTCATAGCTGAATATAAAATCATACCTTCTTAAAGAAGATTGAGATATTTCATAAAATAAAATGGGCATTTCAGAGTGAAATTAGCATTTATTGAAAGTATCTGTGCCAATAAAATGTAAATATTCTTATTTCAAGGGTTATTTGTAGCTATCTATTGATTTATTCTTCTTACCAAAAGTTTAAGCATGCCCATTTACTTGGTGTTGTTTTATTAACAGAAGTTGTTTGTATAGTCTGGTCTCCTAAGTTTAAAATACAAGTCAAAATAAGACAAATTAATTATTTTATTATTATAAAACAATTTCTTAATTTTTAAATTTGATAACTTTTGTAGCATTTTAAATACTTACATATGTAACATTTCTAATAAAGGACAAGAATATCCATTCTTGATTCTGTACTTTCTAAGTTTTTGAATTTGATGAGATTTATAAAAATAAATTCTACATCTATATCTGTGGGGGAGAGAGAGACAGTTGTTGACCATGGACATGTATATATATGTGATTAGTAGAAAATGCAGTATTACTTATTATGGAAGTTTTTTAAGGATTGATAATTTGCCTGCTTTTTCAATTCATGAAATCACAAGCCAGGAGTAAATGATTTCAAACCACGCTTCTGGAGAGTTTGCATGTGGTGATGCTGCTGCTGCTTGCTGGTCATTTGTCTATTACCATTTGTTTCCTGCAGAGTCCAGTGTGTCTTCAGTTAGTTCTCTAACTGGCTCTGACTCGGGTAACTTCGCAGATGAGGACAAATCTCAGCAAGGTATTTCGTTTATTTCTTATCAGTGCCAGTCTCATTATCTCCCTTTGTTTTTAATTTCTCAAATTTCTTGACAAGGGAGTGTTATGAATTTTACTTGGCAGGATTAACCGAAGTGGCAGAATCCACCTGGTGGCTTAAATGCTTTTTCCATTTGGAGCCTGTGCTTTCAGATGTGAGAATCAAAGATCTGTCTCCTAGTGGGTAAGAGTCAGCCTTTTCTGATCAGGGCATTTCTTACTTAGTGAAGGACACACTGTGTGTGGTAATTGCTGTGTTACCGATGGGGGAGCAGACATTGTCTCTTAAGGGTAGGCAGGCTCTGGCTGGAAGCACACCCTGGGGTGGGAGTTCCCTCATTCTGGTTAACTACCAAGGTGCTCTTTCCAACTCTGCTACTCAATAGTGATTGGAAAGTCACATTCCAGTTTGGATCATTGTATAGCAGGGAATGGATTGGGAGTCAGAGGCAAGTTTCTAAATTTGTTTCTCCAATACTTTCAGGGAAAGAATAATAGATGTCTAGCTGCTTTCCTAGATAAAACCTAGTTTACTTAATTACAACTTGGACTTTGGACTTTACCTGACAAATACAAATAATGTCACCTAATCATATATCCCCTCATATTAACCCATAAAAAACAAACAAACAAACAAACCCTTAGCTGGTTTTGATGAGCTTCTGTGTGGTGCCAATGACTAGACAGATTGAACTAGTGGACTTGTACACAGCTATTTTAATGCATAAAAACTCTAAGACACTGAAAAACACAATTGTTATCCTAATATTTTGAATATTATTATTAGAACTTATTTTGGGTTTTGGACACTTTAATGCCTCTCTCTAAAGGAAATAGAAAGAATACAGAATAATAGAGTTCATGGATGCTGAAGTTAAAGCATAATGGTTTTCCTGAATGTTCTACCTAAGATAAATAAAAATAAAATCAATACTTAAAATATTTTTTGATCAATGTCAGGCTAATTGTTGAAAAGGTTTTCTTTACCAAGTTTATTGATTTTAATTACACAGACAAGTTTTTTAAATTTATTTGTCAACTTTGCTTGACTTTCAAGAAAACTTAAATTACAGATAAGCATTTTACATTATTAACATTAATATAGCAAACATCTTTGTATTGCCTTTCAATGAATATGTGGGTAACCGCTGACTGTTTCATGCAGCAGTAACAGTTGATTCAACAATCAAGACACTTTACCTCCTGCAGAGCCACACAGGTGAGCCTCCACCTGTCAGCAGGTCAGCTATTCCAGAGAACTCTTCTCCATTGTAAGAAGATAAAAACTTGCCTGAGCTCTCATCTATGAGACAAGAAGATGGCAGCCACCAGTACAGCAAAACTCTATGTATTTTGCACAACACTGTGGCAGCAGCTACATGGAGAATATTTGGAAAGCCTGCCTTTAGAAACATTTGACCTTTTAATGTAATAAGAGCCTTTAAATGTCGTGATTTATATAAAGTAGCCCTTTCATTATTAAGTTTATTTTTAAAATTAAATTCAACTCTTTAAATGTCTGCTGAATGATTTATTATGCCTTACAACTGAAGTATCAGTGTTTCAAAGAATGGTTTAAAGGGCACTGGATTCATCAGTACAGAAAAGAATTGCAAAAGTTGCAGTTTTAATTGTAAGAGTTGGAATTAGCAAACATATCCTTAAACATATTACCTGTTGAATATAGCAGTGTACATCTAACCAATTATTTATTTTGTAGAATTTTAAATTCCTGATTTTAAATTATATTTAATAGATGGAAAATCATGATAGGTAATGTGAATGAACAAAAGCAGATGTGATTTTAGTTGTATTAAAAAGTTGCATACGCATAACGATGAATGGAAAGGACCATGATGACGTGTTGAAGGTGGCTATTTATAGTGTTGGGATTATGGATGGTTTTCATTTTCTCCTCTGTATATTTTTCTGTATCTTCAAATTTTCTAATAAGGCAAGTTATTGTAAATAAGTAGAAAATAATAAATGTTAATATAAAAGGAACACTGGAATACATATTCTCAATGTGTATATGCCCTCCATTGAATAAACTATTCCCCCACTTTCTTCAATATTGGGAAAATAAAACTTAATGGGTTTTATTTGCTTGCAAATATTTTCTGATGTAAAATGTGAGGATTAGATATTAAGGATGCTGAAGAGGTTGAACTCACTTAGAGGTGACGTCACTGCAATTGTGTACCTAATGTTACACTTGACATCCAGCAGAGACCACATAGTTGTTTTTCAACAGATCTATGTTCTTTACCCAACTACATAATCATGACAAAGTATCCAGACAGACCATATCTAATAACGGGCACTACTGACCAATCACTTACTCTTTCCAAATGGGAAAATCATTTCCTCAATTTTGTGTTACTCTGTCATTAGCTGTCAGTGAAGGAGCTCATAGATCACTTTGGCCCATATTGTTGCTTACATATATTGCTTTTGGTGGTTTTCTGCGTGTATACTTTTAATATGTTTTGGGACACGGATTAAGTTTTTGAAACAAATATATTTCACTTGATTTTAGTCTACAATTAAATCATAGAGATTAAAGACTAATTTTTAAGTGAGATAAAAATATTGCAAAATAAAAGGGTAAATTATGGCATGTTCTGTTCTTAGTTCAATATAATCAACAAATTCCATTTTGCTTAGGCACTTGGTTTATGTGTGAACAGATTGCTGTTGCGGTTATTTGATGAGTTTCCCCAAATAATCTAGCAACCTGTTAATTTATTTACTCAGAAAGATAACATTTGCTAAATTATTTTTATTAATTTATTTTTTGGCCTATGTGTTTGTAGCATTTTGAATGTATCCAAATTTATAGTCTTTATATCAGTTTAGACTGGTGTTGATGTTTCTGAAAGTTATTATTTTTTAAAGTAGTTAATTTTTATGAAACATTTTAAGTCATACGTACTGTGAGCATATATAGTTATTAAGCACTTTAGAATGGTCACACGCATGCACATACACACACACAACTATATATGAGTTGATAGGTAATCCTAAAAGAATATAAGAAATCTTTCTGAAAAGTACTGTTAAAATGAACTCATGAAATGATTAAAAAATTGAAAAGATCCTTGCATGCTATTCCAGTTTTATAGAATTAGGCTGATAAAAACAAAGCCAAAAGTTATTTTTGGTTAATTCCAGGTAATTTCTTCTGATTTATAGAAGACAGTTGGCTCCTGTCTTTAAGGAGCATCTCATAAGTGGTCTTAGCCCCTCTGGATTATTTCATCTGAACCTGGCTTCTGCCTGGCTCTGCTGTCTGTTGGGCAGACAATGGTGAGGGCCAGTGTGGGGAGAGTGTCATCAGTCTGGATGGTTAGAGGTACACAGTGAGCATTCTAATTTGAAAATATGAAATCTTATCGGACGTCAGTTGGATAGCTGTACTAAGTGGGACAAGATTTTGACAATTCATGTTCAAGTTCTTTGAAATTATATGTTGGAGTACCATTGTTTTCTTTTCTTTTCTTTTTTTTTTTTTTTTGAGTTTTTTTGCAGGTTTTAAGTTATTAACCCCATATCCCCTACAGATAAAATTATCACTTCTCACTAGAGTAAAAATTCTTGAGCTAGAATTTTGGCCTGCTTCATACTTCATATTTAATGTAGAATTCAGTGTTGTAGGAAACAAACTGCAGGATTTCATTTGGCTCCTAAGGAAGGGTGATAGCTAAAGTTATTTTATTTTATGTTTTTTATTTTTTTTTTTACTTTTTTATTATTAAATCATAGCAGTGTACATTAATACTATCGTGGGATATAGTGTACTGTTTCTATATACAATTTGAAATATTTTCATCCAACTGGTCAATATAGCCTTCATGTCTTTTTCTTAGTTATTGTGTTAAGACATTTATATTCTACATTTAGAGAGATTCACATGTACCCTTATAAGATGAACCATAGGCATGATCCCACCAATCACCCTCCCTCCACCCACCTTCTCCCTTCCCCTCCCCTTCCTCTTCCCTCTCCCCTTATTCCTGGGCTAAAATTGGGTTATAGCTTTTCTATGAAAGCTATAAATTAGTTTCATAATAGGGCTGAGTACATTGGATACTTTTTCTTCCATTCTTGAGATACTTTGCTAAGAAGAATATTTTTCCAGCTCCATCCATGTAAATATGAAGGAGGTAAAGTTTCTGTCTTTCTTTATGGCTGCATAGTATTCCATGGTGTACATATACCACAGTTTATTGATCCATTCGTGGATCGATGGGCAGTTGGGCTTCTTCCATGACCTGGCAATTATGAATTGGGCTGCAAGGAACATTCTGATACAAATATCTTTATTGTAGTGTGATTTTTGGTCTTCTGGATATATACCTAATAGAGGAATTATAGGATCAAATGGCAGGTTTATTTTTAGTTCTTTAAGTGTTCTCCAGATGTCTTTCCAAAAGGAATGTATTAGTTTGCAATCCCACCAGCAGTGTAAAAGTGTTCCCCCTTTTCTCCACAACCACGCCAGCATCTGTAATTTTGGGATTTTGTGCTATGGGCTAATCTTACTGGTATTAGATGATATCTCAAAGTAGTTTTGATTTGCATTTCTCTGATGATTAAGGATGGTGAGCATTTTTTCATATCTTTGTAGGCCATGCTCCTGTCTTCCTCAGAGAAGTTTCTCTTCAAGTACCTTGCCCATCCTGAGATGGGATCACTTGTTCTCTTCTTGCTAATATATTTGAGTTCTCTGTGGATTCTGGTTATTAAACCTTTGTCGGAGATACAACCTGCAAATATCTTCTCCCTTTCTGAGGACTATCTACTTCCTTTACTTACTGTGCTTTTGGCTGTGCAGAAGCTTTTTAATTTGATGAGGTCCCAGTAGTGTATTTTTGATGTTGCTTTAATTGTCTAGGGGGATCCTCTTCATAAAATTTTCACCCAGGCAGATTTCTTCAAGTATCTTCCCTACACTTTCTTCTAGTATTTTTGTAGTTTCAGGTCTTAAGCTTAAATCTTTAATCCAGTGAGAGTCAATCTTAGTTAGTGGTGAAAGGTGTGGATCCAGTTTCATTCTTCTGCAGGTGGCCAGCCAGTTTGCCCTGCTTCATTTGTTAAATAGGGTATCTTTTCCCCACTCAATGTTTTTAATTGGCTTGTCAAAGATCATATAACATTAAGTAGCTGGGTTCATCTCTTGGTTCTC